CCGATAGTGACGAATCAAGTTTTGTGATGAGGTAGAAATTCAGTGGAAAAGACAAATTTCTGATTTTATTGTCATCTCAAATATCATTAAGCATTGGGGCTTTACCCCAAATATCGTGCGATTTGAATATTTTTCGGTCGGACAAAAACCATTTCAATTTAAACCACGCACCAAAAACAAAAAGTCATTGTAAGCAGGTCTTGGAAATTTGTTGGCGGTGGAAACATTGCCGAAAATGATGCGGTGTATTTGAGCGTGAACTGGGACAAAAACGCAAACATTCGTAAAAAATATACGCACTAGAGGGATATTTCTGTCAACTATAAATTTCTAACGTAATTTGGGGAGTTTTCGACAAATTATTTGCACAATGGATGCCGTCCGTGCAGCTGCAGGGCGGCAAAATGTACAAATCGTCAGGCGGTGTCTCTGGCTGGGCGGCGCATCTGACTCACAACACCACTCTTTGCGGCCTGGCTGGTGGGCGGGTCCCCGTCTGTGCACTGTGATTGGCGCGCCAGAACGCCACGTGTTCTGTCGGCGCCGGGGAGTCTACCAGTGCCGCTGCTCACTGCTGTCTACGTGCGGTTTCTATGGCGACACGGCGTGGGAACGCCCGGCCCAACACTGGGGGCCTGCATGCCCTGTTTCGTAAGGCGTATTAAATCAGGCCTTTTCTTTATTTAATAGTCTTCGTAAACCGTAGACAGCCTTCCCAAAAATCAACGTAATTCGTACATTAGCCACAAAGCGTTAAGTCGTAATGAGCTCTGAAACTTTAACTTTATAGCGAAAATTTTGCGTAATTCGTAATCACTACCCTCAATGCAGGCCCTCAACATGAACACTGCGTGGCTCACGAAATGTATCAAAATTTGAGGCGTAAAGAACCCTTGAATTATGCTTCGCCCCCTTGTTCTCCGGACGTCAAAAAATAAAGAACTTCTTGAGTGGCGATATGGCACGTGGATGACGCCGTGGACATTAGAACTGAGTGTGTGGAACAAGACGTAGACGACAAAGAATCACTCATCAGAACTGTTCTAGCAGACACCGAGACCGACTCGAGACTTGGGTTCGGTGCGTCTCAGAAGCAGCCGAGGAAAATGTCCAGAAGAAATGAGAGAGAGCGCCAGCGGGTCCGGATGGTGAACATGGGCTTCGCCAACCTACGAAACCTCGTGCCGGACGGGCGGACCAACAAGAAAATGTCGAAGGTGATTGTTTTCTTCTTCTTCTTCTTTGGTTTGAGGGGGCCAACATTAGCATAATGATACACAAAGTGGTACACACAACTACATTACTAATACAAACTTTGTTACATTATCACATAAATACACCAAATTATCATCTTTAGAACGACAACAGTGCTATATCTACAGTTTGTTATGTGACTGAATGGTTCTATCAGGCACAGTTCTATATAGTCTCCTCCGCGTATCCAAGAACGTAGGTTTGCCCCAGGCACGTTTCTGAACACTAGTGGACTATTCAGAACCGTGCCTGAACATTGTTTTGAATAGAGCACAGTTCTGAATACAACTGATATGGGTGTACTATCTATATACATGTACACAGATACAGATAGAATACCCATAGTGTTTCACCCCCTACCCTCCAAAATCCTATCCAGTTGCTTGAGTAACTGTTGTTTTTTGGCGTAACAAACGAATATCTCTATCTCTCTATCTTAGGTTGAGACCCTCCGCTCAGCTATGGAGTACATACGGCAAATGAAGGAGCTTGTGGAAGAGCACGATGCCGTATACTAGTAACCGCCGTGCTGAGAAGAACACGATGATGCTATTAATGTACTGTCTGTTTGTGCCACTTTGTATTTCTCAGCAATGTAGGGACGACCCCCTCACTTCCAGGGTCAACCTCCCCCACCACTCCCCCCCCCCCCATAAAAAACTAGGGCCAGTATAAAGACGAGCTCCAGTGGTCCTGTGAGTACAGTCTGGCATACAGGCTACTAGTAAGGCAACCATTCAAATAAACAACAACAAAAAAAACTAACAAACAAATCTCTATCTTAGGTTGAAACCCTCCGCTCGGCGATGGAGTACATCCGGCAGCTGAAGGAGCTTGTGGAAGAGCACGATGCGGTAACCGCCGTGCTGAGCCACGCATTCCCTCGGGCCCAGACGCACCTCCCCCCGCCCAGCTTCAGCTACGAGTCCGATGGCTCCAGCAACCCCATGTCGCCGGAGGAGGAGGCAGAGCTTCTCGACTTCTCGTCGTGGTTCTGAGATGTGTGTGCTCCGTCTTAAGGTACATCTACTTTACTTTAATTAGGCCATGTTTAGTGGGGTCGTGTGGCGTAGCGGCAGAGTGCGCGACTCGGAACTTAGAGTCCCGGGTTCGAGTCCTGACATGCCACCGATCTTGTGCCCTTAGGAAAGGCACTTTACACGGCTTTCCTCACTTAGCTCAGGTGTAAATGAGTATTGTCCTGTCATGTATTTGTCCCCTGTGTTGGTGGCGGCATTAATATAAGTTGAAAAAACTTGAGTGTGTCGTCACCACGTCTGGTGATTACATGTTGGAATAAAAAAAATAGGCCATGTTGATTTTGATATATGGATGACATCCTCTGGGAACCTTAAAACTGATGCGAACGTGCGAATAAAAAAGTTTGCCCCCCCCCCCAAAAAAAGTTGCTTTCAATATGAAATCTACGTGGTTCTGAAGGTTAAACAAATGACACACAGGGTATGGTTTGGTGAATACCCTAGTGTTGAAAATGTAAAGAAATGAATTTGGTCTTTTTCGTTTGATTTTGGCATGCTACGACATTGGAAAACGATTTCCAATGTTTTTTTTTCCAATGATTTTAAATACCTCACCAAGTGGTATGTTTATCTGTTTTATCACAGGTCTCAGAAGAAAACACGCTACAGAAAGGTCGACAACCTGGCACTACAAATGACGTTCACAGAAATTACCTCCCTGCATAAAGCGTGTATTACATTACACTATGAATTGCACTTGGGCATAAGATTGCTCAAGGTCGTATTTTTGTATTCAAGGATGGCATGTTGTCTACACTTTTTCATGTTGTGTCAGAAAAAAAAATATCGTCTGCAAAGAGCAAAATTCTAACGTAATGTTGACCAAACATCCAAAGTAAACCTTGACAAATCCGCTCTACTACAGTCTATGTTAAATGGACCTCAAGACATGACGTCATCTTTATCCAATAGCAGCCCGGGAAGTATACACTAAAAGCCGAATGCGCATGTGCTTTATAGACCTCTGTGAGCCAAACGTACAAAGAGTTTCCATATTGCTGGTGATATGGGAGACATCGATGTAAAAAATATATAAAAAGACGCTGTGAATATGTTGTATATTAATGTAAATTGAGCCATAAGATATATATATAAATGTAAAATTGTGTCATGTTGTATAAATACTCGACATTATGACATTAACCAAAGGACTTGTTGAATTGTAATGAGGCAGTTTTCTTGTTATTAAAAGAGTTGTCATTTATACAAAGATAGTTTGTGTTTTTTCTCATCTAATGGTCTGTGTGATAGCTGACTTAAATTTGGCAAAATTATTTCTGAATGGGATAAATTTAGAATTGTCTGTGTCCTCTTAGAATTTTCGGAGAAAAACTAGTATCAAAAGAGGAATGTTCTACTAAATTAAATGCCAAAAAGATATTTTTAAATGCTTATATTTCAAAGATATCTAGCAAAGATTCTAAACTTGAGTCGTGGTTTAATAATAATAGTTTATTGACAACAATCCTTGTACATGGCAGCGTTTAAACCGCTGAATTGCGTACACAGATTTAAAAACAATTAAACAATAAAGGTGGGCTAAACAAACAAAGGACATTGACAAACTAGGTACAAACAACTTAAACAAATACTAGCTGTACGCAGTTATAAATTAGATATATAAGTGATTAAAAACAATATTGGTCCGGTACTGGGAGATTTCAACCTAGGTCTGCTTGTTTATTTAACAAATCAGTGAAATAGGGGATTGGGCTCGTTTTGTACCGCTTTGTTTTCGTCAAAGGGATGTCGAGTTGGTTTGCCCCCTTCAGGCATCTGCCATGGATGTCTGAGCGGGATGGGGGTAACCAATGTCGGAACGAAGGGGAGTTAAGGAGGGACTTTGCAAACTTAAGGCTAAGGGTTTCTCTTCTTTTCTCTAGGGACGGCAAACATAATTGGGACAGGGCGATGTTGTAAGACGTGTACAGGGGGCCAAGGATTATCTTTACTGCTCGTTTTTGTATGCGTTCGATTTTTATTACTTGATGTACAGAGATACTTGAATTCCAGACTGGGGCCGCATATTCAAGGGTCGGGCGTATGTATCCTTGGTAGAAATGGCAAAGGTCTTGAACAGGGAGTCCGGAATGTTTCAGTTTCTTCAGCCAGAAAAGACGTGAGCTCCCCTTCTTTGTTATAATTTCAATATGTTTGTCCCATTTCAGGTCCCCCGAGAGCCATAAACCGAGAATACAGGCGGATTCGGTATATATAAGGGGCTTATTATGAAGTGTTATATACATTTGGCCCATGTAGGGCATGAATAAAGGGTTAATGCCTTGCTCCTCAGTGCATATGGTGAGATAATCCCTGATCAGTTGCAATAGCCAATGAGGTCGTTGGTGAAATTGACTATATTCTGTAATGATTTCCCTTCATTTTGTCATGTGTTTCACAGCACTTTGCTGAAGAGGGAAACAAGCTGTTCAAAACTGTGAAAGATTTCTCAGAAGACGTAAGTATGGTACATGTATCACTTTTTGCTCATTCACTGACACTGTTACTAGTACAAATTTAGCTTGCTTCCTTTGTCACCTGGAGTTAACAATTTTTGAGCATGCGAATCATAAATGGTAAACTTATCTATGGTTAGTCTAGCACCTTCATGTCTTTTTACCTCCATGAAAAATGGAGGTATTGTTTTTGGCGGGTCTGTGTGTGTGTGTGTGTGTGTGTGTGTGTGTG